CTGCTGCTCCTGTGATTGGGTCTCACTCTCTACTTCTGTAGTGGGTCCTTCGTCTTCCCCAACCTCTTTCTCATCTAAGGATAAGAAGTGTAAGTAAGATGCGCACAGTATGCACCCAGTAAGCAAAGACACAGAACAACATGGAAGGAAGGGTGAGAATAAGAGCATCTAAGATAATGTGAATAGTTTACAATACAAGAAATGATTGGTTACTGGGAGTTAAAATCAGCAGAATTAGCAGCATTCCCTTTGTTACAGTTAACAGTTTAACAAGAGCTGACTGAACAACAGAGATGGGAGAAGCAGAGAACGTAAGAGGATTTACTGACATCCCTTAAAACCCTCGTCCTCCCATCCAACAACACAGCTTCAAAAGGGAGAGTTCAAAGTGTCTCTATTTAACAGAAAAAAACCCTTCCACCATTAAAATTAATACCAAAGGCTTTGGTGTTACAGATACACATACGTTAAGAACATAATATAATTACAATTGCTTCTTAAAGTAATGCTTAATATGATTCACTGTGGATCAAAAAATCTAATTGAATTCACAAACCAAATGCACCAATTCTTTCAGACTTAAAGATTAATTCCATTTCATAAAAAATAATCATTAATCCACACCATGGCAAAATGAAGAATTGAGCCCCATTCAGACAGGATTCATTTCCCCAGAGGAGATGGGTAATAAAATTGTTACTATTTTCTATTCTATACTATTCTAACTTCTTGCAGACCACAACAAGAATATTCTATAGGAATGACACACATCTCCTACTGAACTAAAAGTAACTGGAAACGCAGGTCTGAATGTGTAAAAACTATACTCCAATTATTAGTCGGATAGGGTAAAAATGCGCTATGGGTAGGATTAAAACCCCAAATCAGAGCTCTGCAACATTAAAATCATCCAAGCTCCCATAAAGAAATACATCTTGTCTGAATGGGGATTCAATGACCGGAGACAAAATTACACTTTATGCACAAAATATTGGACTTTTTTTAACGTAAGGTGAACCGACCAGACACAAACTCTGGTCTCTTTGGGTCCTAATGTAGGCATAGAGGACACGTTAAAAAGAACATGTTAGGCATTTAAGACAATTTAGACATCGACTATGTAGACTGGAGAGCAAATCACAAATCATCTACAATTCGATTAGCAAGCTCGTCTAAATATTTTGTACACTTAGTGAACACCAGATCTGGGTCAAACGGGTGTAAAAAGTTAAGGATTAATCCATCAGGATTCAGTCCAAGTCAGACAATATATGCTAGATCAGTTGTTAATCAAGAGTTTCTGTGATTGTATAGACTTTGCAGGATGAATTTTAGTTCTCTATATAGAATGAATGTACTTGTAAACACGATTTAACCCAGGTCTAGTGTAAAGATGCAGTAACTGCTAAAACCCATTGTTTCTTTAGTGTGATTAGAGGTTTTTGATGGTCTGCATTCTAATGTTACAGATTCTACAGCAAAAGAAATTTGACTCATTCTGGTGTAATCAAATCTATCAAATCAGTTCAAATTAAGCCAAATCAGACAGTGCAGGGAGAGGAGGGGGAACCTGGACTCTGCAGAGGGCGGTTCTGAGGATTCTTTGGATTCTGCTGCATCTGGAAACTGTGGACCAAATTCCACGGAGCCGGAGCCTTGGCTAGAGGCAAGATCACACTGTTAAACCCACTGGTCACTATGACGCAACACGATTAGTGTGCTTACACACCTCTATGAGTGTAGAATTTGATGGATGCAGGCTAATGAAATACATGTTATACACATTATTCTTGTTGCTTCTACTTTGACCTGAGCATCTCTTTTTAAACCAGTCTGTAATGTTGACTGCTTCTGCTGTACTGTTCTACTGGCCTGATTACTGTCACATGCACATAGTTTCCAGAATATTACTAACTCACTGGAAATTTGGGTAAGACATCTTCAACTAATATGCCAGCCTGCAATAGTTCAAAAGAGAGGAAGCAAACAAAGTTGTTTGCATATTTGTCTGCGACTGTTTTGGTTACTAGGTGGGATTGTGTTGCAACAAGAAAGTTGTTTGCAATTTCTTTCCTTTGTTGCTTCCTGTGTAAAGAGGACAGTGACATTTGTAGGTGGGGGCGTCTCACCTCGGCTGGCTCATTGCTCACCAACAACTACAACAGGATAAATGCTGACATCATTAAAGTTGGGAAAAAGAATCAAACGCAAACAAATGAAAAAGGTCAACTGGAGCACTGTACTAAGAAGCATTTAACACGGGCTGTTAGGACACTGAGTAAGTAACATAAAGATGCACAGAACAGCTTGAGTATGAGTGTGTGTGTGGGGGGGGTCTGGTCCAAAGTCTGAACTAATTTTCTCAATTCACTTCTTATCTCAGATTCAGAGTTTAGTTTTGTCTGATCTTGGATGTTTGTTCAGCCAATCGATGTCTGACTGTTGTTCCAGTGTGTGTTAATAAGGTCAGATACAATACTGTACTTTAGTTTTAGCAGTGGTTCCAATTAGGACTTGCTTCTTTCAGCCTTGTGAAACCTTTTTCACTGTTTTCTCACTTCAGACCTGAGGAGACCCCATCTTGGTTGGTCTTTCTTGCTGCTTGTCTGTGTATCTGTGTTTTTCAATACCTCCAGAAGGGGGCGGGCTCTCCTCTGTGTCCGTCCCAGAACGAGGCGTTGGTCCAGGGGAACGCGATTCTGCTCTCAGCCTCCTCTCATAGCTGAACTCTGGAAGCCTGGGAGCCTGAGGGCGTGTCTTCCTGGCAGGATTTAGGAAGTAGCAATATGCACAACGGAACGCTGGGAGGGTTGGAAAAAGAAAGGGAGGAGGAAGAAAACAAGAAAGAGAATAAGAAAAAGACATTGTATCATCTATCAAACTATGGCTATGCATTATAATAACTTTTTGGAGTTTCTAATCTCAAACACTCTACACGCTAACATTATGCTCTCTCTTTACTGAGATACTCATTATCATTAAATGTAGTGCTGCATTAGTGTTCTTACCTAAATATTCAAACTCTTCTTTCAGAGCCATCCCGTTATGAGAAAAACACTGTTGGCAGATCAGAGCATATCTATAGGAAGGAAGAAGGGACAGAGAGGAGAAGAAAACTGTTTGATATAATCATTTTTTTATATTTAGTGTCCATGTCCATTTCCCTTAGTGATTACTTGTTTCCTAGAGGACTTTTGATAACCCCTGGAGACATGTACCCCAGAGTATGTACTTTGCCTTTTAATCAAAAGGTAAACACATGCATACGCATACATAAATAATATATATATGACATGAACATATTGATGATAAAACCAAGTCAGTTAACAGTCCAAAGATTCAGCAAATCTGAGTGATTGGAATATGATTCCAGCTCTGAAAGGCCCAACCAACTAACATGGTCTAAAAATGACTAAACACCACTCCCTTGTCTCTGTAGAGACAATCTCCAGACTGCTCAATAAGAATGGAAATTTGGGAGTAAGTTGCAAGCTACTCCCACAAGGGATTTGAAAGAAAGAAAAAAAGGTTTTCACCTGTTCTGTGGTCCATCTCCTACCAGGTACTCAATGACTCGGTCCACAGCTCCTCTGTCTTTGGGCAGAATGGGTCTTGCTAATGGCGGACCTGGTGGATGCATACCTGCAAAGACAGTCCACATAAATGTACATTTTCTTTTTTCTCAAGCATTAATGCCAAGATACGCTCAAAGGCTTTACAACCTACCTACACCTGGTATAGGGGAGCAAGGGGTCCTGGGTACTGCCCCCTGGAGGATAGAGGCAGACAAAGCAGATCTCTCCGGCGGTCCTCCTGGAGCTGAGAGAGGAACAGGTTCTGTAGGGAGAGCAACATGGGATAAAGACACAAACAGATGCCTAACCGGACTGAGACAAAGGCAACTGGACTTGAGGTTAATTCCAGTTGCCTTTGACTTAGTACTTCGCCCATGACCTGGATGCCTGAGAATCTGCACAGACAGGCTAGACTTGACTTGCAATATTCCTTGGTGAAAGAACACAACTCTCACTGTCAACTCACGCTGCTGTGTGGACCTGGCATCAAAGTAGATTCACTTACAAACTGTGATACTTCATCATAATGTCATAAAGTATCTCTGTGTGCCCCCTTACCCACAGGTGTGCCCCCGGGTCCCAATGGGAGTCGTGCTCCAACAGGAGTCATTGCCATTGCAGCTGGGGTTCCCGGCATGGGTCTCATTGCCACCCCTCTCTGTCGAATCTCTACAAAGAGGAGAGAAATTCATCATTCAATTTTAATGTGTCTATCGCTTTAATCACTATTGTAGTGACAAGGAATCACCTTTGTAGCTCTGGTCTCTGGATGAGTCCAACCTGAGCTCAATCAATCACCACTCCACAACATTTAAATGTGCCGCTTTATCTTTCTGTTGTGTATTGATATGTGTCGTACCTTGTCCTGGCCTGGGAGTCATCTGTGGGCGCACCGGAGTCGACTCCAGCTCCTGCAACATAACAGCAAACCCGACAAACAAAAGTCAAACAAAACAAATATACAATTAAAGATAACTAAACAAACAGAAACAATAAATAAATGGACAGCAGTACTCACAGCTTTTTTCTTGGCTTCTGGATCAAAGCGCTCCAGGATGAGTTTGGCATTTTTGTATGTTTCTGTTTCCATCACTTCCTCCAGCTGGAAACACAGAAAAGGGAAACCTACGTTCTAACATGCAGACTAAATGGGGGTCCTTTAATTAAAACACAAAGGGGCAGTGGGGATAAATTAGGCCAGTCTTCTCACTGACAGTCCTAATCCAGAGGCATCAGTAATAAATTGAATTCAGTTTCAAAGCCAGTTAAAAACTTCTTGTAGGGGCTTTAAACAAGTCATTAAAAAAAGGGATGAAGAATTGGACACTTACGATCTTTTTTTTGGAAGCCTTTAAATCTTCTAGTTTATCATCTAAAAAAAAAAAAAAAGCAGAAATAACTTTAACTTTAGTATGACAACAGTAACAAACCTAGAATCATCAAAAGCCTCAAAAAGATATGTTATGGATGGACAGATGGACAGAGAGGGACTGACAGACGACTTACTGTTTCTCTCAGTGCGTTTGGAAAAAAGGAAGACCAACAACTTCCTGATGAACCACACCCTGATGATGAGAACGAAAAAGATGCAGTTGTTCTTAATATGGTTCCAAATAAAAGAAAGAGGGTATTAAAACAACATTTTAATGGCACAGCTACGTTGCAGAGGGTTGTGAAGGGTATTATGAAACGTCCGCACTCACAGCACAGGGTAAATGAAGAAAGGCAGGGCCATGGCTATTCTCTGCAACCATTGTTCAGGTAGGTAGAGACAGTACACGATCAGAGAGGTCAGCAGGTACAGGACTGACGAGTAGAGAAGCAACCGACCGACCCACAGCTGCAGACAGACACACAAATAAACACACAGATGAGGAAAAAGAAACTACAATTCAAGAATATTACTGCACGTCTTGGCTGCTTTACCTTTTGCAGACGTTGGTTTTTGGCTCTAAACTCCTCCAGCTCTTTAATCTCCTACAAGGGAAACATTGAGTTTGAAGGTTATTTAACAGTGCAAAGAACCTTTGTTTGGAGTTGATCACCAGTTGTGAGTTTCCAGGAAAGCAATTTCCTCAACTTAGTTACGTTCTATTTGTGTTTTGATTTCATTCATACTTAAGTATCAGTGACTGTTTCAGGTTAACACAACCTTATATTGACCTTTCTGACGAAGCAGGATTAATGATTTTAGCTGAACTTTGGTGAGTAAAAAAGGGAATTTTCTGCCAAATGTTCAGTGGGATCACCCAATAATTCAATAATCCTGCTTTGAGAGGCCCCAGATGATTGTATTGTATATTGTATTGTGTACCTTCATTATGAAAAACTAAAATGCAAAGTGTGACTAAGAAAGACATGCCATGAATTTTCTGTGTCCTAGGCGTTGTGTAAGTACATAAACTCAGATACAATGTTCAGTCAGTACCTTGTCAATGTTCTCCAGCTGCTCAACTGTGGTTGGCTTTGTCTAGATTGAGGATAAAAAACATAAAATTATCATCAGGTTTTTTTAGAACAATTAGGGTCCCGTGTCCACATAGCGTTTGTTTTCTGGCAGAAAAACGCTGGCAGAGTGCTAGGATTTTGTTTCTATGACAACAATATCTCGACAAATTCTAACAATGAGCCATTAGCTTAACAAGGACGCTGTGGTTGTGTAAAGCAATAACTGCAAACTACTTCTTCTTTTCCTACATTTAACTTGTCAACTGTTCACTTCACTCAATTCACTGCGTCCAGCTGTGTGTGTGAGTGAAGGAACTGAGCCCCTTCCACTGCCAAACATGCAGAGGAAAGACAGAGAAGCTAGTGCGACCATAAATGACGGTAAAACAGGGTAGAGAACTCTCAGCATAGTTTTCTTCCTTTTTATTTGTTTCTTCTCTCTGTTGTGAGTTTCTTTCTGACGTATCATAAAGCTCAGGATAGACAGACAGTCAGAACAAGCTTTGCCTCCATTTTCTTGGTTACCAGAATAACAAATCCCCCCATCTAATGTATGACTGGTTGACTGAAAATGAGTGACAGTGACGACACCAGCGCCTTTCTGAATAATTCAGAGATTCTCTACTAGAAGTGTCTGGAGCGCTCACACAAAATGTGAAAACTGAAAAAAGACTGGGAACTATGTGGACACAGGCCCTAACACTCAGCAGTGTCACTCATAGCCAAGCCATAGATTCAGCACTGATTGATTTGTCAGTGAACAATAAACCCTGGTCCTGTAAACACAGGCTTACTTATCCATCTTTCCCTTTGACTTCTCTGGTATGTGTTTAAAAATAGTATATGTAAAAATATGAATTCTAGCTCAGGTGCAGGACGCAGTGAAAAACAGAAATATGTCAGCTTACTTCCTTTCATTGGTCTTTTGTGTTACTTTAATCCAAGAATCAGATACTGTGTTTAAATGTCACAATTTAGTGTATACACACACACTGAAACAAAACTACCATAAAGTGGATCAGAACCCAAGACTTAACATTTTAATAAGTCTGATAAGACCAAACTCTGAATAAAACTTGACTAATCAGGGCAGAGGGTCAGTCTTATGGATTTCTGTCTATCTGCAACCGGTGCCTGTATAATTTGAAACAGATTTTAAGATTTTACTAATACTGGCTTAGTTACTGCATGACTTGGCTCAACAGATATGAGCCTTGTTAAATCCCTGTGATGAAAGGCATATTTTAAATGAGTGGAGTGGAACATGTCCTCTTCCACAGAGGCCGTCATGTTGAACCGCCATGTTTCTACAGTAGCCCAGAACTGATAAACCATCCACTGGTTCTGTGTTTGTCACCAGTATCTCGGCCACCGTAGTTTCTCCCACATGCGTGGAAGGTGAGCAGTATTCAACTGGTTGCAACCTTGGACCATTAACTCTCATCCACTCACCTTCCACCGGGACAACAGGGCCCCCATATCTGTGAATTACAGCCGTCCCCTCTTTGATTCCTTTGATTCACTATGGGACAGAAAGTCTGTGTTAAACAAAGCACATAATCCCTGCTGTTACATTAAATTACACATGTTATGCTGCTGATGTCAAACACCACATATAAACCCTGATATGATATTTACAAAACACTTCCATCGTGGCAGAACTGTACACAACGGCTGACGTTGTTATAGTGGATTTATTATTAAAACCTCTGCTTATGACTCATTACACAACTTAAAGAATACAGTGGAAATACGGGGCTGCACAGTACTGACAAACATTACACTGCAACGTAGGTCTTCTGCTGAAAACTGTGTGTGAAGTAGTTTATATCAAAAAGCATATCACATATTCATGCTGCATGGCCAAAACAAACCCGCTACACAGCTTCTTTATCTCTGTGGACAGAGGGCAACATCTACTCAAAAGTTAGCGTGACATCCAGGAGTCGTTTACCTTTTGAATAGATAAGACCTATGAGAACATGACTCAGTATTTTTATTTTAACACATGACTGAAGTCCACGTGTAACTTCTAACGTTACCTCTACGGGAGACAACAGCAGACATATACCTACAATTAAACGGTGTAGAACAAGTAAGTTACATTTATTTAGCATTGTGCTAATATAATTGTGTGTAATATAAGTGCACGTTTCCAGCTAACAGAGTTGAAGCTACCGTTAGCTGCTCCATCACAACACCGGCACCAATGACGTTACGTAACCAGAAAGAGTGGCTTTTAATCACGTGAGCTTTTACTTTACGTTAGATATAAAGTTACATTCGGTTTGAATTAAACACAACTGTTCCTAAAGTGTAACGTTGTGTTAACTGCAGTGCCTAACCTGCTCATGTTAAGTTAGCTTAGCTGGGTTACCGCATCAGTAACAACAACAGGTATCAGACGAGAAAGCGACGTCGTTACGGCTGGTCTTCATTAGGCTCCCCACTGAAACAAGTACTTACATTAGGTGGTGTCTGAATGAGTCTGTGAAGCGCTCGGTCGGTCCACTCAGAGCAGAAACGAGCAGACAGCTGCAGACTGCTGCTGTTACCTCAACTGACATCTCACTGCCGAGCGACAGTTGGCGACGTGGAGACGTACAGGACGTGGAGACGTACAGGACGTAATTTATGGTTGACGTAACCCGGGGCCAGAGGTGGACTTGTTTCCCAGAGTCCTTTGCATTGTAGTTTTTGATGGCCCTTTCATCGATAACATGTCGGGAGTGTTTGAGCATTACGGTTAAGGGGAGGATTGCGTTCAGAAACAACTTGGCAGATTTTTTTCTATTAAATCAACGAATTTAGTAAAAACATGAATACATAAAAACATGTTTATTAGTCGGTCGGAATTGCGTGGAATGTTAAATAATCCTGTATTTATTTTACCGTATGGACATGAAATAGTCATCAAATAGTGAATATCAATATACAATGGTGAAAACAAATACACATTGCAATTAAT